GTTTAAGATCAGGATTATGACCTAACCTCTCATATAAGAGACAGCCAGATTAAAAGTGACACGGCAAATGAAAATGATTGAGAAGAAGAACTTTATAATGTAACTCCTCCTCCTTCTCCTTCTCAGCAACATTATTATGATGGTCAATATCTATAAAAAGGACAATCAATAAAGAAGAAAGTAAACTCAGACTCCCTCCCAATAGATGTGCAGCAAAATTTCCAGCGTCACTTTTCACATTATCATGACTTTCTCCTGGCTCGACATAACGTGGACCCAAGCTACTGCCTCTAACCTCATTTCATCTCTCATGTTCTCCACTCTAGTCATATCATTCTTCCTCAAACTAGTCAAGTTTTTGCCTGCAATAGAAGAAAAATTTATTAGTTTGTCCCTGTTGGGAAAAGCCTTCCCCAAAACTTTCACATGGCTCACTCATTCATTTCTGCATGCATTTGTATAAATGTCACTCCTCAGAGACTCTGTCAGAGTCTCTCACCTTACCTAAAATGTGCCCCCATCCCTTCATTCTCTATCCATTTACGAGGTTGTATATGGCATTATTACACTTTATACAACTTGAAATTATATACTCATTTGCTTATCTGGTTTTGTCCCCACCACTATAATGTATGCTCCATAAGGTCAGGAGCCTTTTTTGTTATGGTCACTGCTATATCCCCAGAACAGCCCTTTGTCCTTTGTAGATACTTACCAACATTTGTTGGAAGAGTGAACAAATGACCTAAGGAATCAGGAAAATGTGTTTTAATTTTCCAAAATTAGGGATGTGAAGTGTCCTTTCCTAGCCTGCCTTCTGGAACCATGAGGTAGAAAATATAAAGCTGATTAATTAGGAGACTCAAAATGGAAAAAATGTATGGATAATTTTCCATTCTTTCCTTTTAGATGCTTATACAAGAGCAGAAGTCGTTTATGAATGGACCAGAGAGCCAGCACGCTCCGTAGTTGTAGCAGAAGATGGGTCACGCCTAAACCAGTATGATCTTCTGGGACAAACAGTAGACTCTGGAATTGTTCAGTCAAGTACAGGTAAGTGTCATTTGGTTACTTCAGATACAGAGGAAGGGGCAGAAAAATATTTCATGAGGATGTGAGAACACAGTGAGTCCTTCAGTAGCACAAGTAAAGGAGAGAGAAAATTGCACTAAACTGGAAATCAGTTGAACTGGGAACTAATGTAACCTTTGTAGACCTGTGACCTTGCACGTATCATTTAATGTCCTTTGGCTTCTGCTCTTTTGTTCACAAAATAAGGAGCTGGTTCTGTGTGATCACTGCAGCATAGCAGGTAGACATGTGAACTCTCGAGGATGAATGTCTGAATTGATTCCTTATTCCTCCACCTTGCCAGTTGATTGTAGTCACCTTCCAGGGATGTTGGAAGAAATAAATTAAATTCATAAAGAGTATTTCTCACAATTCTTGGCACATAAAAAGCTTTTCATAAACAGTAGCTGTAATATTGTCTAGGCCCCATTTATTGCCATGAGTCAATGGATCTCGCTGAATTTATAGCAGTGATCATTACATATGAGACATCAAAAAGCCAATTCCTTCTACAAACCCATTTGCATTTCTAGCTGAGGATCTTCCACAGTTAACACCAACAGAAATGTAGCCACATTGTTGATCATTTTCTGTGGGTTGGAATTAAAAGTAGGGTGCCATCGTTTTTAGTGCCGTAACTGATTTACTGGTATACTCAGAACTAGATCAGATACTATTGAAAAGCTGAACCCAAATGTTTGATGTTGTTTTGAATACCAAGATAAGAGCTTTGTTATGTAAGTATTTATTTTGTACTATCTGAAATGTGGTCTTCATATCAGATAATTATAAATAAAAGCTGGACGCCAACAATTAGAAAAACATATGCCTTCCAAAGCCTAATATTTTTAATTATCTTTGATTACTGAAAGCTTTAACAGGGTCAACAATTATTTTTATGGATGTCTTACAAAATTTAAGTTGATCTCATTCACTTAGATTTGTGATTTAGTAAGAAAGAAAGATGATTTAGTAATAAATAAGGGCAGTGGTGCTATTCGTCTCAGAAAAAATTTTTTTCCTTAGCTTTCAGACTTTATTGGCACCCTCGTAATTCTAACACATTTAAGTAATAGGTCAACATCTCTTACTGTGATTATT